GCTGTATAAGCTTGAGTGTAAGGGAATTAAAGGTTCGTTGCTGCAGTAGTTTCATAGTTACTTAATCAATAGGAAGATCATAACTTGTGATTATATAGCAGGGCAGATGTAGCTCTTAATCAGATGAGAGTGGACTTTTCGCTTTTGAACAATGATCTGCTTAAACGGCACCTGGTTTCTAATGAAGACTTTTGCGAGTGTGGCGAATCCGAGACGGTAAAATATTATTTCCTTTCTTGTCGTAGTTATCGTTTGGCGAGAGCAAATCTGTTTAAACAGATAAAACTACGTGATCCGAACTGTAACATTGACCTAAATCTACTACTACTAGGAAAGAATCTAGATTTCGAATTGTATAAAGATCTTTATGAGCTTATAATATAACATGTAATTGAGACAGCCAGATTCAAACTGTAACATTTCACCAATCTTCCTTCGTTTTTAGTTCTTTTTTTTCTTCTACTTGTTATGTATTTAATGTACGACTAGGGAAACATTATGTTAAACTACTCTTCAACTATGTAATACTTCGGCGCATTGGGAAAATAGTTGTTAGGTATATTCACTTCTGAACAAAATAGCTGAAACCAACCTTGAAAAGCTGACTTTTCGAAAAAAATTTACTTTCCGATAAAAAAGCAAATCTAAAATACTTTCAATAATCGGGAAATAGAGCAAACATTTCTGATCAAAATGAGATATCTCCCAGCTATGAATGATATTCTAATCAAGGGTTATGAGAGTTTTTCTGGAAGCCCTAGAACATGCATCAGATACTACCCCACCATATTTCGAAAGCGACTTCCACCTTAACACCATTTCGTACCTGCAAGATTCCTCGGTAAAGAAACATCGCAGATAGCTGGGGAAGGTCTTAAATTGAAGCTGACACATGTGGCTAGAAGCTAATAGAGCCCGATTTTTGATATTTGGACTAGATTTGTGGTTAGAAAAATACCTTTATGCAAGCTAATGAGACGTTTTCAATATTTGGACTTTTGACGCTGACCATTAATTTGAAAAATAAGATATAAAAAATCTAGGTCTATTAGCTCTAGCTACATGTGTTTTCATCAACCTAAGATCAGTTCGAGCTCTACACAACGCTTCGTTACCGAGAAACCTTGGAGCTACGAATAGACCCATTTTGGCCACTGTTGTGGCGACATCTCTCAAACCATGCTAGATGGAGCGACAAAACAGACAAATTTTAAAAGCTTTTTCGGTCGAAAGTGATTGCAAGTACGGATTTTGCATAGTCAACTATCTTATACGCAATAACTTTTGGCTCGAGATACTCCTGAAAGCATTTTCTTCATTATTTGGTTCGAAGCTTTTTAAAGAAGCTCAAAAAGGGGATCAAGCGCTAAACGACATCGTGAAATTTTCTAGAAATGTCTCGATGTAAAATTTGCTGCGTACTGGGTAATGGATTATGGAGAGTCCGAATCTGCAGTCGGCTTGATGTGAACAAACTTTTAAAATTTCTCGATTAGGCTGATATGTATATGAGTTTTCTAGCGTGGTAATAAAATTACACTAGACTAGAATTCTTAAAAATATCATGGAATTAATAGTCTTCATTCCATAGCTTTGTTTTTTTTAATTTCTTCTAAGGTATCCAAATTCGATGTGAGAAAATGTTTTATACAAAAAGTTAACTTTTTTCGTCCACCGTAAACTAGAGGCACAACAACTTTTAGCTAACGGCATAAATGTCAAAAACTAGACATCATGGAAAATTAGAAAGATAATGGATAGATTAGAAGAGATAATGGAAACAGGAAAAGATATCCCATTTGTTTCATATTCAAATCCAACACTTTTATCCAATAATTTATGTACCTAAAAACCCACAAATGTACGAAATAACCTTATTCGTAAGGGAGCATTTCAAAATATATTCCGTCCATTGTCGGTATAGCTACACTGTAAAGTCGGAGATTATTTATAGAAAATCGATCGATTTTCTAAAAATTAGAGAATCGCTGTCGATTTTCTAACTTTTTAGAAGTTCCTTATCGATTTTCTGGCAAATGAGAAAAGTCAATAATAACTGCCTGGTTTTGTAATTACATAAACATATAAAGTGTAAAAGCATTCTTTTACCCGACTTAACCATTGCAAAAGGCTCTAAAAATCGTATACGAAATGCCTTTTCTTGGAGGTCAGATCTACCTGAAACTTTTTTTTCAAATAAAATTTACTGTTCATAGAATGACAGTTAATTTCTGTAACCGAAATGGTTGGCTATTCCCCTTTCCAAGTCGGAAAAAGAGAAAAATTTTCTCTCAAAACTTCGTTATGTTCATGTAACTTATTAACCTTTCCTACGCAGTTATATGAAGGACATGAGAAGCTCGCAATCTATGAAAGTCATATCCTTCAGTAAAAGTTCTCCGAAAAGTCTAAAAAGACTAGAAAGATAAAACTTAGTTGAAAATGTTAACATTCTAAAATATGAAAACGTTGTTTTTCTATCTGTCGCTTCATCATTTGTGAGAAAAAACATGCCTTTACATGTTATACGTTTATGCAATGATAAAACGGGGCAGTTATATAGAAAACAGTTCTGAATTATACTACATCATAGCTATACCGACCTAACGAACAGAATAGAGGAATAACGACCGACCAGAATATCTTTTGAAACGCTCCCCAAATAAATTAGTACGTTTAATTTTTTTAGCTGCAACCAACAAAATGTGCAATTGTGGTGTATGAATGTCCAAGAATTCTACAGTCTACAAGTTTTCAATCCATATCGTTCCGCATAAAAAAGCCTATGGCATCAAAATCGGCAACAAATTAGAATGAGTAATTGCAAATTTTTTAGCAGAATTTTTGAGACATGAACTGCTGAAAAAAATAAAAAAATTCAAGTGAAATCGTTAGCAGGCATATAGCATAAATCCACTAGATGAATAATTGAAATTAAATGACGATTTTAATTACATTTTTGTCTATCGCACCTTTTTTCTCTGGAAATGACTGGTTAGTGAGATAAACTGATTTCATATTTGAAAGTCTAGTTTGAGTACCATTTGGTAGCTCAGAAAACTGCACAAAAAGCACAAGACGTTTGTCAGTTTTTGAAGGTGATTTTCATTGGTGATCAAGTAAAAAGTCTGATTTTTGTTTTTGAAGTAGTAACTTTCCTCTTTAACGTTTGGACGCGTACCATACTGTTTGATCCCAAGGCGAATGTGATGACGACTTTTTACGGTCTCAGCTAAAGCTTTGGGGAGGAACTTGATATTGATAACTCTAGATCATGGCTATTTGACACATATATATATTTATCTTTATCTTAGGAACACATGGAAATGAGAATTTAGAAGGTGAATTCATTTGTTTACACATGGAATGGTTCAAAGATACTTCATTCAATTAATAATGAGAAATACTTTGCCAATTGTTTAGAAAAGTGTTGAAATTGAAAACATTCACGCTTGACGCTTAAATTTACTTTTCCAGAAATATTAGATCCGTTACCATCCTCAGAAGTTGAAGAAAATTTTAATTCACTTGTCGCAAGATTAGTTTAAAGAATAGCATTCTTATTGGTTTAAGCTTTATTTATTTACATTCTTATTATTTTTTCCTATTTTGAAAGTAATGGGAACCCTCTGACCAAACTATAAATCATATCTACAATTGCTGTTCGCTAAATATACAGAAGATGGTGTCCGATTGATTTCTGAAAGTCTAGTGAATGTACTTGAGATAAAGTACTTAGCTACTTGCAAATTTTCTAAAGTGCTTGGTTAAGCATTTGTCTAGCATTTTTAGGTTTAATATCTGCCCCTGTCAAGTACTTGAAAGAACTTCGGATACGTGCATATATTTCGCAAGTACTTACCAGGTTACCTACCAATTACTTGATGAAGTACGTATCTAGTACTTATATTTGTTAAATTACTTGATAAGTACCTTTTTTTACTTGCAAAAAACTCCAGGTACTCTGGACATTACTTACCCAAGTATTTTTCTAAGTACTTGGTCTCAAGTACATTCATTAGGGTTTAAAATACAATATAAATAGAACTGACCTAATATTCGAAAAAATACGAAAAAGAGAGTACGGAAGAATGAAAAAGATGCCCTGTTATATTCTAACCTTGAAATACAAAACGTTCTATACACTTATGACACTCTTTTTCAACCGCTTTGTCCTTTGTCTTCGGGATAAATTGCAGCTTTTGTAATACTCACATGTAACAGGAATTTGATTATTAGATCTTAAAATCTAGGCTGACAAGTTTTCTAGATGAGTCATCAATAATCTACAGAAAGAGAAATAAGCATCAAAATTGTCTTAATATTTAAATAAGTTTTGAAAAACAAATAACTCTCGTTGAAGCATGGATTGCTGTAGTCGTCTTTGTTTAATATGACGCACTTTAAACTCATTTCTCTATGCAAAAAGCAAACAGTACGTTAGTTTAATTGTTGTTCAGAAAAATTATGTCTACGTGATAAAATGAGTTATTCTGAATTGAATATACAAATGACGTAAGGTTTGCTGCAATGCTCGTAACTCAAAATCAAGGCAACTGGAATTTTTCTTATTTTAAAACAAATTTTTTTACACTGTGTTGTTATGATATTGAAGTAAAATATTCAGTTTTTCTCTAAAAAGAAAGATATGACATGACAGACACATTTATCAGTCAGCTTTAGCCATCATCAGACGTGCCAACGATTTCTCTTCCAGCTTTTTTATGGACGCACGATTTCATATTTATTGAATCGAGTTAATATCTGCATTGTTATTACAGTAAGTACATCACTAATTGATTTTGCCCATAAACTCGAAAAACGTTATTAATTGATTTTCATTTGTACACATGAAGACTCCCAACTGTTGTTAAGGTTGTTGGAGAAAAGCCTACGTACAATCAAATTTAATCTACCGGAAAGAAGTTCAATAAAATAATAAATAGAATATTAAAACCTTCGAAAGATCTAAGACATTTTTGATCATTTTATAGTTTAAAATGAGTAATACAGAAGAATTTGATGTCAATGACCGACTAACATTGCCAGCTATTCTGGAGGATCCACAGTCACATTTCTGTGTGTGTCCCAGTCACACACCATTAATTGATTCAAAACATACTGAATCTTACTTCTTGGCCATCGAAAATTCGCTACCTCAACCTCGTTTTATTTCATCAACAAATGAAGTTCACACATCAAAAGGTATCCCAACACGGTCTGTGAGACATTTTGTTCAATCATCATCCAACAACGTAAAAGCACCAATATTGAATAATCATTCATCATCATCTCAACAATATTGCCTAAGTTGTCAGCCATTGAGGACAACGGCTGTTCAAGGTGGTAATATACAACCGTTTAACTTGTCTAATATGATTCAATTAGAAATTGTTGATGGTAAGCCAAAAGTTATTCGTCAGAGTGAATCATCTGTACCAACGAAACCACCAAGAAGTTTCGAATCTCTATTAACTCATTCGACCGCTGATGATATTAATAATAGTAGTAATGCTGCTCTTTCAGTACCTATTAATAACAAACGAAAGAATCTTACTCAAGGTACAAATCGACCTCCACCTCCATATATTTCTGAAAACGACAAAAAAGATATCGATTCGTTGGTACCAATTTCACGCGTTGACGATTGCCATTCTTCGTTGGACAGTTACAGTTCGACTAGTAATTTTATGCGCTTAGTTTTGTGTATTATTGGTTGTTTGGTGGTGCTGTTTTTTACGCTAATTCTTATATTTATTGCAATAAGATATTCTGATTACCATATTTAATACACAAACAAACGGACAGATGAATATAAAAACAGAAGCATTTTTTAGTTTTATATGCATGTATTCATAACTGATTAATAATAAATAAATAGAGTATGTTAATAGTATAAGGCCGTACGGTAACCGGTGAATCCATTTACCGATACCGCGGTAATGGTAAAAAATGTTCACCGCTACCACAGTATGTTTCGTATGGTAAAAAATCTTTTACCGCTAGCGTTTTTTGTCGCAGTAAAAAAACTATTACAGTTGATCTTTTCGGTAACTTTCTTTTTACCGTTATCATGTTTCAATAAGCGTTGTTTCTTTTCCAAATGGCCGTGTATTATATAATCACCTTAGAGGGAAGGTTTAGCAGAACCATAGATTTAGACTATCCTCCGGAAGGGGAGATAAATATAAAGGGATGGGCACAATAGAGGACCCGGGTCTTATATCGCGTCCTAGCGCTCATAACTTTGAAGGGGGTCTTCTAAAGCGTCCCTAAAAAAAGCCGATTTTAACGATCACTGGAAATTAACGGATCCGCCTGGTTCCGGATATCTCCGGATCTTCTAGCATAAACTTCTGTATCTAGTACATGTATTTTGGAAAAAAATTGAAGAAAAACACTTTTCACTTTTTCTGAGGGTCGAAAAAAACGAAGTATTGAATTTCAAAAAACTACATAGGCCATTTTTTGTTCAGCATCTTGAGTAACCTAGAAATCGATGATTTTTAATGAAAAATATTAAGCGCCGAGAAATGACTTTATCCGCTCCTCTCCTTTATTGACGATCTTTTCAGTCTATTATCAGATAAAATGGCAGCAAAAACGTCAATTAGCAATAGATTCGAACTGGTCAAACAACTGAAGAATGATCAGAAGACAATATCTATGCAGACACTCTCTTCTGTACGATGGATGTTGCCGATGGATGCTATCAACTGGACAAAAGAACCATTACTTCAATAGGTGAACGAGTGAAAGGAAAACGATTTAATATAAAAAAACCATGCCATAATAACTGCGAGAAATCGCAAATAAAAACCGTCATGAGTTTCACAGTTTTTTTCTCCGCGTATACACTGCTGATTGATAGTAACAAAGCTGAATATAACGTGTGTGCCTGCATTGAAGGTAATATAAAATTGCGCTTACTTTTGTTGAGCAACATCTCACAGTTGTCCAAGCGTTTATCGGTAAGTAAATCTAAGTTCTCGACATGACTCAACTTTTTGTTCTTCAGATTTCGATACGGTGAATTCCACAAACCACACCTGTATGTCAGAAACCCGAATGATCCCAAGAAATACATGAGGGTTATACGTTGTTATATATTTCTTTGACATTTCGAATAAAAGCTATGCTGACAATATCGAGTTTACAATTTAAAAAAACCGACTTATTCTACGCTGTCATTTGTGGAACAAGCAAGACAAAGAAGACGAGAACGACAAATAATATCGAAGAATCTGCCACATCTTATCGTAGTAGTGTTTTTTCACTATTTCCGTGGTCTGCCGTTTTATGAGAAAAAAGTCGTGATTACTTGAGAATGAAGACGCTGTTGTAACATTGAATTCCATCCGTTCTGTAGAGAACATACTCAAGAGCTTAAATATATTCTCTAGAATCTTAAGAACAAAATATATGTTTTTCAGCCTACTTTTGTTCTTCAACTTGACTTTGTTCTTTAGCCGGGTTTTGTTCTTCGAAAATTAACTTTTTCATTTTTATGAAGAACAAAAATCGAAATTTATATTCTTCAGAGAACAAGAATCCAGCCTCCGTAAAATATATTTGCTCAGAAACGAATGAAACTGAGGCGAGGCGATGAGTATGATCTAACGGCAGCAAAGACTTTCCGGAACAATTGAATGATAAAATAAGCAAACAAGCGAATTTTTCGTTCTCACAAAACAAACAGAAGCAACTTTTTTCACATTCTAGATATAATTTATCCGTAATAAATCCTTCTTTTCCCAGACGCAGTAGAAATTGAATCAAACGATCATCACTAGCTACTGCAGGATCATGATAAATCCGAGAAAAAGTCCCTGTGGCTTTTAAGATCAAATTCATTTTATTTAATAACCTATCTATATCTTTTGAGTAAATGAAATACTGTATATTCTCGTTCTCGTTTCACTCGTTCACCTATTGAAGTAATTATTCTTTTGTCCAATTGATAGCGAAGAAGGTTTCATCAATGTGTCGGCGGTATAGTCGTTTGTTGTCCTCAATTACCTTGACAATACGTCTTTCTTAAAAGTGCGATAGTTCAATTATCTTATGCATTTCGTCCCGATATCAGAAGAGAGGAATACAGAGCGTTGGATGGTCATTCTTTTAACATGAATATGAAAGTAACTGCTCTCTTCACGAAATACAACAGGCTGCAACCATACACAATTTTCACCTCCAACGCTCACTCTTCAATATAAAATAAGACGTTGATGTACTTTCTTCCTTTTTCCCGAAAAGGTACCCTTGATGTATTCAAACTGACTCTCGCAAGAATAGTATCGAGTACCTCAGCACAAGAATAAAGTAACCTATCGCGAAAGTAACAATTCCACTAGAACTGCAGTGTGCACGTTTCTGAACGTTGTCAACTTGTTTTCCTTCACCTCCCTTCATAACTTTATCTCTGGCTTTTGTTCATTTCATGGTACTTTTCCGACGGGTGAGATTTCTCTGATAGAATATCTCAACGGCTCGAAAGACAGACAACTTAGTTTGTGTGAAAAGCCTCTACGCAAAACTTTATACTAAAGTAATGTCTCTTAGGTGAGATACGTGATTTTTCAAGAAACTGAATTTTCTATTTTCTCAAAGGTTAAGCATGTTGTTGTTGAGCTTCTTTCTGAGCTATATTACGATCGATCGTTTTCAACAACATCGCATTTAAAAGCGCGACGATAGGTGACGAAGATGAGGTGCTTTTCTTGTCTGACGATGATTCTTAGCGACCCACAAATTCAAAACAACCCAAACGAAAATAGTCCATTTTTAAAATTTCTGCTCGGATATTATTAATAATAAATAAACAGCACAAAAATATGAGACGGCAGGGAGCCTTGGAATGAAAAGAAAAACCATAAACAACAAAAAAATGAAAGTAAAAAAAAGAGCGAGACAGAGAAAGAAAGAACGCGAGATTATAACAGTTTCTGGTGAACAACTTTATAAACTAAGCTAAGTGGAAGAAATTAAAGGTAGTTGAAGCGCTGGTGGATATGTTCTGAAGAAACTGGTAGAAAACTTGTTCCTTAATCACTGTCCTTCAAAAAAAAATTGAACCGGTAGTACAACTGACATTAAAAAGGCCTACGTCACCGGACTAATCTGCTATTTTAACAGTAACTGCAATGTTTAGATAAGTCATTATTTTCTATTGAAAGTTGTAACGGGATGATACTTGATAATATCTGTAGTAACATGAGTATTAAAACAGTTTCGAAAGAGAAGATAAAAGAATGTGATGAGAGTAAAAACTGCACAACTATTCAGAAAAGAAAAAAACACAAAAAACATTTTCTATTTACGTCTGATTGCTTGTATATCGATCGATAAACATAATATTATAAATAAAATTATACTAGTGAAATAAAATTAAAAATAACTAAATGAATAAGCTCTGAAAAGAACAACATTGTTGTATAATTTCAATTACTAAAAAAAAACATCCAGTTTATCCTGCACAAAACGCTCATTAATTATGATTGTTCTTGTTCTTTATTCTGCCTTAACATTTCTTCATTTTGATCTCTTAATAAACGTTTTTTTGCTTGTTCACGTGCCTGAAAAACAGACAAATATTATGTGTGTGTGTGTGTGTGTGTGTTTATGGTACTTGATAAAGAAATCTGGCATTGTCTTACCCCAGAATATGAAAAATCTTCAATTGTTTCATCATATAAGACGCTATAATCAATATCTTTATTTCCTGTATCAGATGATTCTTCGTCGTCAACTTCGTCTGTAGATGTCGTTGTTTCATCATCATTATCAATGTCATTGTCAACGTCATGTCGGCCTTTTAATAGTGGAGTAGAAAAGGATGAGAATGATTTACGGTGTGGTGTAGATGCTGTGCTGTCAGGAATAAATCCAATATTTTCTAAATAATAAAATGCAAAAATATTATATCAGAATAAATCTAAATAGTGTGATAAAGATGTTAGTAGATTCGACTTACCTAAATTGAGAACTAATGATCTTTGCCTTTCACGTTTCTTTATCAAGGGTTCGTCTGGATCAACCTCTTCCTCTTCTGTTGTCTTTGCGTTTTCATTGGTAACTGCATTTTCATTTGTTGCCACCGATGCATCACTTTTTATTTGTTGTTGTAATTTTTCAAGTGCTTTTTTTTGTCTCTTGGTTATCATCATTTTAGATGCTGTTGGAGTTATGTCTGATGCCGACCGTGTTGATTTGAGTTCATCAGATGGAAGACGTTTACTTGGTTCCATTTGATTTTTTGGTGCTGTTGTATGCGATTTATGGTGTTTATGATCGATAATATAAACTCGAATTTCGTACGGACGAAATTTAAAACTTTTTTCATCATTATGGTCTTGAATGGGTTCAACTAAATTAGTTAATACTAAATGTTTTAACGATAAGCCTTGATACAAAGTAAATTGTGCCGGACGATCGGTTAAGTTTGTTAAAATATAAGCACGTTTATCGTTTAATGTTCGTGTATAACCATAGACCTGTTTATGACTTGAAAGGATTAGATCATATGTACCATAGATAAACAATTCATTAGCTTTACGTAATTTTATTAATCGCTTATAAAAATTTAATATTGAATTTTCATCTTTTGACTGGTGTTCAACATTAATCCAGACATAATTTGGATTGACACCTTGACAAAACAAACAAACAAATTCGTCTAAGCATTAGCCAATGCAATGCACAAAATACCACGCACTAATGCCGAAAAAGTGCCGATTAAAGTAAGAAAAGATCGACGCCGGTGCGTCTCTTTTTTCTTTCTGTACAAGAAGTGACGCATGCTCATGGTATGACAATATATTACTCATACGTATCAGTGTCGTGATTGATATAAAATTAAATAAAAGCAGCTATAATAAAAAACCGCTTACAAACTAAATAAGTTTCAATACGGCACTGATTTGAATTAGTACAACATTCTTTAGATAGGAATACACTGACTCGGTACCTGGGTTGTGAATGATCCTCTTTTTTTTCAGAACCCATCCTCTTTGTTCTCTTTTCCCGTCATTTTTCCTCTTTTCCGATGATTTTGTTACAAAAATGCCTGATTTTTAGCAATTTTAGACTCGAATATACTTTTAAATATATTTGAGTCATTTTTCAAGGTGAAGAATTTCAATACAGAAAATAAGAGACAAACCACCTTTATAATCGTGAAAATAGACTATTTTCTGTTAGAGACGTTTCTTTATTCAAAAGACATCATGAATCAAATGTGACAGACGGTAGTCGATTCAAAATAAAGATAAAATACAAAATATAAATACAACTTTTCCTTTTTTCACAATATATGACGACTGAATGCGTTCTACATATGTATTTCATTTTATTTTTTATTTTAAATCAACTATCATCTGTCACATTTGACTGCTGATGTCCGTAGTGAAACTTCTTGTAGACTCCAAGATCTTGGAAAAAACATCAAGAAGTCAAGATCTTGGATTCCTCAATCTTTCGCTCAAAGTCTTGAAACATCTTGGCTTACTTCACTCAAGATCTTGGGAACAGAAATTTCAAGATCTTGAGTGAAGCCACTCAAGATGTTGCAAGACCTTGGTTGACAAATTTTCTTTACATTTTGTTTTTATTTATGACAGTCGTAGCCATTGGTTATACGACCATACAGAGTCATAGATTCTTCCTTAAACAACTATGGTCAAGAAGGAAAAATTCGAAGTTATGCAATGTGTGAAAATATTCGCACTTATGTTTACACAAGAGTGTAAAACAAAACGATGATTGAAGAATTCCCAAGCTCTTGGCACAGGAAGTCAAGAAATTACAAGACGTTCAAGGTCTTGACTTCTTATATTTTCTTACCAATCAAGCTCTTACTGAAATAATTCAAGAAGTCAAGATCTTGGTTACAAGAAGTTCCACTAGGGTCTTCTGAATAAAGACGAAACGTCTCTAACAGAAACTAGTCTATATTCATGATTATAAAGGCGGTTTATCTCTTATTTTTTAGATATATTCTTTATATCTACGCCGGTACATAAAACGAAATTTAGTCAAACATGGTTGAAAAAACCGGATCCTGGGGGTATTTCTGTGAGACGATGGCTGAAACAAGATGTGTTTTTTCGTGTGTGCAATCGTGAATAAATTAAGTGAATATCTCGGCAGTGCCATGTCTTATCACCTCCGAACATAGTAATACGCATAAAGACCTACAATACACTTTTAGAGCGAAAAAAATCCTCTTTTGTCCTCTTTTCTTCAAAATGATCGTTCACCAGCCAGCTCGGTACTTTCTGAGTAGGATGCTAGCCAGTGTCGATGACTAATGCCATGACATGCACACTGAAATTTTCTCTTGTAAAGTAGATTAGAAAATAGTCGAATCATATCTTTCTATTACTGACCTAACCATGTTTGTTGAGCGGTAGAAAAACCAGCATTCGGACTATCATCCCATTGCATGGGTGTTCGAGCATTGTCACGGCCTGTTATATAAATTATTTGCATTATTTCTTGCTCATCAATGCCTTTTGCTAATTCCAAGTTGTAAAAACTTTTAGCAGCAACGTCATTGTAATCATTGATCGATGGATATTTAACATTGGTCATTCCAATTTCTTGACCTAAATTGACGAAACAAAATCTTGAGCTTTTAATAAAGAATTTCCATAGTCGCATCTCCGCATAAAATCGTGGAAGATTGGTTACCTTGATAAATAAACGGCGTTCCCATCATAAGTAAATAAACAGTTGCAAATGCCGTGGCACATTCTCGTAGATATTCTTTATCATCACCCCAAGAAGATACAATACGAGGTTTATCATGATTTTCAATAAACAAAGCATTCCATCCATTCTTTTCTAAAGCTTTTTGCCATCTTGTCATGATACGTTTTAACGCCAAAACTATAGAATAAAACAAATAATGACTAACTTGAGGCTCTGACCTAATAGACAAAAATAAGTTACCATCTAATGTGCCTAATGTTTTCTCCCATAAATTAGTTCCTTCAAATTGAAATATCATATTGAATATGCCTAAAAAAACATACTCTTTATCTATTCATTCTGCTCAGATATTGTACTTCTAAATTTTACCAGTATCTTCATCAACCCAGTCTTGCGCTTGATCAGCTCCCACGCCATTCGCTTCACCTACACTAACTAGATCTCGAGTACCAAATGTTGCATGACGAAATTCTCTCAAATATTCTTCGATTCCTTCAACGTTCATGTGATAATCAAATGATGAGACAAATTCTACTTGTTTTGGATTAGGCAAATCCGGTAGGCCAGGTTTCTTTTTGATATGTGACACAGCATCAATTCGAAAACCTTTTTCAGAAAAAAGTAATGAGAATAAGCATTAAGAGCACAATGATTATGAATGAGCATTTACTCACCATCGATGCCTAGGCAAAAACAAAGAAAAAGGCAACGTAACAGACACGTTTTAATGGGAAAAAAATTATTTTACCTTTCTCTAACCACCAGTTACAAATTTTATACAATTCCTGACGCAAATCAGCATTTTCCCAATTTAAATCGGGCATTTTACGTGAAAATAAATGCAGATAATACTGATCGGAGGCTTTATCATATTCCCATGCAGACCCGTTAAAAATACTTTCCCAATTGTTCGGTCTCATACCACCCGGTTTACCTAAAAGAAAGAAATGGATAGAAAAAACTATCACAAAAAGAAAAGCTATTTACTCACCATCACGCCATATATACCAGTCTCTTTTTGCACTTGTTCGTGACGAACGAGCTTCAATAAACCAACTATGCTCATCGCTAAAATTCCGAGAAAAGAAAGTAATTTGCATACTGTGATTATGAGAAACACAATTACCTAGTATGATTTAATACCATATCAAATATCACTTTCATATTTCTGTCGTGTACTTCTTTAATTAAACGTTCCATATCTCCTAGATTTCCATATACATCCATGATATCTCTGTAATCACTAATATCATATCCCTAAAATAAAATAAAAATAATGTAAACTAGAACATTAGCCACTCCAACGTACAACCAGCACTACAGTAACACTTTGTAGTTTACATGAAAGCAGAGAGAACAAGTTAGCAGGAATAGTAGAATAGTACTAAAAACCTGATGAATGTTGTTTAGTAACCAGTAGGTGAAAAACAATAAGCTTTTTAATCGTAATAAAGGTAAGATTAGAAAACGATGGTAGTAACATAGTCTTAACTACTTTCAGATAATAAATGATAACCTTAACAAATAAACTACATACATTATCATCATTTGGGCTTTTAAATATCGGACATATCCAAATTAGATCAATACCCAGATCCTTAATATAATCTAATCGTTGAATAATACCAGGTAAATCGCCAATACCATCACCATTTGAATCTTGATAACTTCTTGGATATATCTGATAAGCGATTGCCTCTTTCCACCATCGTCGACGTACCATTTGTAACGCTTTTTAACGCGTATGATATATTTTAATAAAATTTCAGTGATATAGCGATTGTTGTGGCTTTTAGTTTTGTAAATGTTTATTTATAATATTTGGTTCAATTACCAATTTAAGCAAACCAGACACAACGGAGTACTTTTATCAAACAAAAAATAATGATGATGATGATGAAGCTGTACTAAAAGAATTTAGTAAGAAAAAAGATCAGTTTGACATTATATTGTGTTTATAAAGAAAACTGTCTTGTTTCTGTACAGAAATAAAAGTTAGATGGCTGAATATGAAGAAAAATAGTGTAGTTAAAATCGTTCTTTTTAACAGACATAATTTGGTTATTTATCAACAACTTTTACAATGCAAATAATCAATTGAGGATCACACATTGCCCTTTTTGTCTGAGAAACACATTTTCGCATGCATCTTTTCGTTATTGAAATTCAAGTCGATACCAGTGACATGTAAAGCTCTAATAAAGCAATAAAAAATTTCAGTCACATAGTTTGTGTTCTCAAAAATTTTTATTGCTCGTTCTGCATAAACAGAAAATGTGTTCAACAAAAGATGTTTGAATTATTAAATTCCTTTTATTCTAGTGTACTCGATACTCTGTTTCTTCTTTACTAGTTTAGTTGCTGATTTGTGTGTTAGGATCATACAGTCGGAGCATGCAAAAATATCGACACATTAACAAAACACAACATGAAAAACGTGTTTTCATCGAATTGGACATATGCGAAAGAAAATAATTTCTCTCGAACAACGTTTTCATTGGTCGAAACATGAGTCCATTTATCGATCTCAACTAAAACGAAACATATTAATGCAATCTCAAAAGCTTTTTCATAAATTGACTATTAAATGATATTCTAAATGAATTTGTGCAGAAATCTTCATTTGAAAGGATTATAAACCATTTTCCTCAAATCTGCCGTAGCCACAGTGCTAGACGATTTATGAAAATCACCATATCATTTTCGACATGCTTTTGGTTTGTTAGTAGTAGAATTTTTTCTTTTCCTTCTTCCATATATGTCAGTCAGTCAGATGAGCAAATTTTATATCAGCTGTTTTCTTGCACTGTGTATAGCAAACATGGGATGTTTTATCAATTACATGTAAATCTGTACATACGTTTACAAAAGCATACCTATAGAGAAAAAGAAAAAGAATAAGAATACCTATAGTAGATTTTTGTTGCTCGTATCTTTTATCATTCAATTTTGGCATGTCATGTAATATATTTAGCGATATTTTACGTAACAAATATCCTTGTATAAACTAACTAATTTATAATTTGATACTAATTAGTGATCTAGGATATTAATTGATCAGAAACATCGATTAATGAACAATGAGGATGCTTTTCTTCACAACCTCAGTTTCAAGGTCATCAGGCAGTAGGAGCTTTTCTACTGATAGTGACAATTTCGTGAGAACTAGACACTCGTACTATTTGTGAAAAACCTTACAATCGACGAACGAACTTTTTATTTTGGTTTCTATCACATGCCGGAATAAGTTTCACTCTTATCCTTTTGACAGTTTAACGAAGAAAGGTTATTGAATGATTTCTAGCATCCACGACTTTTTCAGTAAAACGTTTTGAGAATCTTTTTTAGTTGCTCAATAGTTTTCAGTCTTATAGTCAATAACCTTGAAGGTCACGACTACGCTACGACACTCAGAAAATAAAAATTAATTTTCTGGATACTGCTTGAGTGAACAAATTGTTTATTTCTGCTCTACTTTTAGATCAACGTAAACGAATGCGCCGTTATTCTGAAGCAATAAATAACAAGATTTGTTTATATAGTCCAATTTAGTCGTTTTCTTGGGGTGCTAACAGCATTATTTGTTTTCTTCGCTTTTTTTCATGATGTTATTTATACACACTCGCATTTATTGACAATCATTTGTTTATTTATTTATTTTCTAAAATATTAGAGAAGAAAACATCTTATCTTTTTACTTGTTGTCATTTCTTTCTGTCTCTGTTTCTCTTTCTCTCTCTTTCTTCTGAGTGTTTACATTACTATTTGAGGATTTTTTCCATTGTTTGTGTGTGTATTTCAAAGATCCTATGAATCAGTCCCAATACTGGCCTCAAGCTCGGATTCCGACGACGGTGGTGGCCGAGGAGAATCTCCACCAGCCAAGAGAGCTCGAACCTCTCTAATCTTAGACGGCCAATCTACATCATCAAGTTCATCAATAACACTCGCTCAATTCTTCGATCCACATTTATCGATGCATACGCATAATTCAAATCCAAATTCAACAACAATAAATTCAACTTCTTCGTCCACTACTTCAACATCTCCAAATATTGCTTCATCTACCATCGCATCGTCTTCAACAAATACTAATAACAGTTCAATGACGGCGAATGATTCTTCTAGTATAGTAACTTCCTTTCCATTAGCAACTGAGCAATCAGCTTCCAATGGTGCTGCAAATAATCCTGTTGTAGAAAATATTGAACAAATTGATAATAGTTCGTCTAATGCACCATCATCATCGTCGTTACCATTTTGTGATCCTGAACGTTTAAAACAAACTCATAAACATAACTGTGAAAGACATTTAAATCATCATTGCAATGGTGTGACAAATACGACACAATCATCAAAGAACAATGGACATGACGAGACAGGTTTCAATGGAACGACGTCAGAAAAAATTACCAGATTAATATCAACATCAACACAAACAGTATCAGTATCCTCATCGTTAAGTAATTCTATTACATGTACAAAAACATTTACCAATAGCCAAAAAGAAATACTTCGATTAATCGGACAACATCTACAAAGTGCCGGATTAAAGTAATTAAATATCTGTATGTCTTTACCAACATACTTCAAGTTTTGTTGTTATTTTTTTAAGTAAAACCGTTGAAACACTTATACAAGAATCTGGATGTATCTTAGAACATGAACACGCGTCTCATTTTCGTGAATTGATTATGTCAGCCAAATGGTCAGAGGTAAATATTTGCTGGTTTTCTTCCTAAATGCATCTGCTAACCGTTGTTTATATCTTTTAGTCAATGATTGCATTAGAAAAATTGAAAACTTATATTGAAGAACATGATGGAATATTGGTCAGTTTGTTGTGGCTTATCGTCGATTGCTTTATTGTTCGGATTTTTCTTTTAGCAAATGAAGTATCTAATATTAGAACAAAAATATTTTGAATTAATTGAAGATAGTCAGCCAATGGAAGCATTACACTGTCTTCGACATGAAATACAAGAACTGCGTATAAGAACAGAGAGAACACATGAATTAACAAAGTAAACGAAAATTTATGATTGAATCTTTAAACAAACTGCATCCTCATACATCATTCTATTACTCTTAGGTATCTTATGTTCAGTTCACCTAAAGAAATGAGAAGTTCAGCTAATTGGAGTGGAAAAGGGTTTGTATCAAGACAAAAACTGATGGAAAAACTTCAAAGTATGTGGTTTTGTTAACTCCTTTATGCTTCATAATCTAATATTATTGTTTCTTTTTGAAGAATTTTTACCACCCGATGTCATGTTACCACCAAAACGTTTAGAATCATTATTAACTCAAGCTGTTGAGTTACAACAAGAACGCTGTACATATCATGTAAAACCAGGCAAATTGACGCTTGATGATGTAACTTTATTGAAAGATCATGTTTGTACAAAGTAAGTTCATCTGAAGCCGTCTATTTACTGTGTACTCATTTTTTGTTGTGTTTCAAAGACAAACATTCCCGTGTGCTAGCATACAAATATTGAATGAACATGCTGATGAGGTATGGTTTTGTAAATTTTCACCAGATGGAACAAAATTAGCAACGGGATCGAAGGATGGCTATTTACATATTTATGATGTGGATTTAGTATGTGATAAAGTCTGAAAATAGAGACGACACAAATAATCGGCTTGCTTTTTCTTTTTAGCAAACTTATAAAATGAAATTACGTAAACAATTTGATGGACATTCATTTGGTATTGGTTGTATTGCCTGGTGCCCATTTAGTCGTTATGTTATCGCCTGTGGCACAGATGAATGTACTGAACTTTGGATTTGGGATGTTGAGGTATGCTTTTTCACACACACGTGTCGAAAAACGTGTCTTTTTCTTATCTATTTTTTAACTGAATTTTTTTATTTTTATTTTAGCGAGAAGAACAGCGATCACGGATGAATCATACATCGGACGATAGTTTAACATGTGCTGCTTGGCTACCTTGTGGTCAGCGTTTTGTTTGTGGTGGATCAAGAGGACAATTTTATTACTGTGTACGTTATTTTGAAAATATCTGATGTACTAATATTGCGTGCTGCTATTTTGATTCAATTTTCTGAATCAACTAAAAACAAATATTTTATATTTACTGAAAGTGATCGATCACTTTGACCATTTTGTAGGCAGAGTACAGCAAGTCAAATATTATTTTTTCAGAATGATTATGATGTGTCACGTACATTAGATCAGTTTCAGCTTATTTCGTAGGATAGAAAGAAAGAGTTAAAACAAATGCTTCGCAACGCTATTTTAAAAGTGATAAAAATTATGGAGTTTTTGAAAGATTTCTCTGCAGGATAACGTGTGAGAACTCTCTGCACAATGACGCTAGCATATAAGAATAAATTGAATGGCATCTGCTTTTTCGCTTTTTTAGGATATTGAAGGAAATGTCATTGATAGTTGGGAAGGTGTTCGTTTACAATGTCTACATGTGACAACAGATGGTGTTATTTTAGCAGCTGATGCTCAAAAACGTATTAGTTCTTATAAATTTGATACGCTAACTGATCAGCAGTTGTAAGTGATTTTATAGTTTGTTAAAAAACCTCGCTCATGTTTAACTCATTTAGAATCCATGAAGATCACCCAATAATGTCTTTTGCAGTAAGCAAAGACGGTCGTCTTGCATTACTAAATATAGCTACTCAGGTAAAATGACATGCCATCGCAGATAACATTTACTATTGGGTAGTTTCGAATTTAGGGAGTTCATTTATGGGATTTAGAAGATAAAGTACTTGTGCGCAAATATCAAGGTGTTACACAAGGACATTATGTCAATCATGCCACATTTGGAGGGCCTAATGAAGAGTTTGTTGCAAGTGGGAGCGAAGGTAAGTGAACACAGATGTCCAGTTCATTTTCAAACTTTATATTAGAGAAAAAAAAAAAACAGTGTTATTTTTATTATTATAAGATAGCTTCTTTTATACGTGAGAATACATTCAACTTCGGAATACAATAGAACTAATTTTTTTAGTAGAAGAGAAGCGTGCTGCATTTATTGAGGTTTGAAAGAATAATTTTTGTAAGTGTCATTAGTTTCAGCGTTATGATCCCATTACAAATAAGTATCAGAATCTTCACTTGAAAAAGAACTTCATTCGTACTTTCTTTTATAGATTCAAAAGTTTATCTCTGGCATCGTCGTCAAGAACGTCCAATAATGATATTCTCAGGTCATACAAGAACGGTTAATTGCGTATCATGGCATCCAACATTACCATTACTATTCGCATCTGCCTCAGATGATGCAACAGTGAGAATATGGTCAACACCAGAGCATCAACAAAAAATTGGTAAGAATTATCCAGAGTTTTTTAGTTAGTATTAGCTCTACTTTGACTCATATACACATATATTATTGCATGGAAAGCGAATATGAAGAACAAGTATCGTTCTTTTGTCTTTTTAGAATCTTCATCTGGAAGTGAATCATCCTGACAAAATGTTTAGATTTTTTTGAAAAGTTTTGTATTATTTTTATCGAAAACATTATTTATCGAGCAGACAAACCATCCCACGGTCTTTATACATTGTTAATCTAGATAAGTAAAAAGAGGATTGTTTATACTGTATTTGATTGTATCACTTTTTATTGTTTCATTCTATTTACATCTGTTTTGTTGATTTTTTTTTGCTTTCTCGATGTCTAAATGAGAAAGTAATACAACGTTTGTCGGAAATTTCATGCTCAACTTCCTCGCTCGCTTAATACCGATATAGCAAAGTTGGCAAAGAAGTTAGCTACTTATCCTAACAGAAAACATTGACAATGACTTAGACTCTTCGACCAACTCTTTCTTTAAAACAATGTAACAATCATAATTTTGTGCTCATTCGTACTGCAAACTTTCTCTTTCATTTGCTATATTCATTTTTATATGATTTGTGGTATCCAACTATAATGAAGTGCGTGAGTGCGCACTTATAACATACGCTATTTATGAGTTTGTCTTTCTGAGAAAAAAATGATGACTAATGGATATAGATTTTTATTTTCACACACTTCCAGCATGTTCTCTATGTCCATCGATCTACTCATTATTGTTATTCATAAGGAGTTAAAGACAAATAGGTGATAAATTTTTATTCATTCGCTCCAAAGTATTAAAGATTTTTTTGACAAAGAATTTTGATCCATTTTGCCACAAGTTTACTTTAATCGGCGCCGATACTATGAGAGTAATATAACATGCGTGTGTGTGTTATTTTGTACATTTCTCTAACGATATTTTATTTACACAAGTTGTATTTTTGAAGTTGAGAGTGATGGATCTTACTTTTCTTCCCCATTCCATTTTATGCCATATTGTTTTGTTTTTGTACTATCAACTTCTCAAGCGTTGTTGTTGTTTTCTTTTTCAAGTGAAGCTCATTTAAGTGTATTGCTATATTCGCTTTTTCGTTGTGTGTTTATTTACTATTTTCTCCCTCTCTCTCTCTCTCATATAAAAATTTAGCGCATGTGTATATAAAACTTACTTTTTTCTTTTGGTTGGTTGTTTGGTTTCCTTTTTTATGATGTAAAAAGAAAAATTTTCTTATGTTGTCTTTTTTAACAGAGTTTAACCAGGCTTAAATTCGTTATCATTCTAACTATGAATAGTCTTGTTATCCAGTTACTTACATTAAATAGAGAAGGGCTAGTATGAGAGAATACACAACAAGTATACTCGTTTCGTCTTTTTAGAAGGATGTTCATAATTTTTGTGTACGGATGTAATGAAACCTTCAAGTTTGAGTTCGATGACTCCTCATTCTTTGTAATATAGAAAACTATATTTTTATAATCTAATGGACGATTATATTAACATGAAAAGATAGTAGTGACAGCTAATATCATTTCTGCACATTTGGTGTGCTGTTAATAAAAGTACAGTTACCGTCTATTTTCAACAACATAAGCATATGATCGTTAATCAAGAGACAAAGGTGGATAAATAATACAGACGTTATATTCGAAATAAGATGAATAAACTTTTCAAAAAACTTTGAAATCTTTGAGCAGAGTATGCTGACTGATTACAAAAGGATTTTCAGCTAAATTTTAGTGGATAGCACATGGTCATTTTCTTTGGTATAATTTATGACAAAATGCACATCGATGTTAAATGTATAAAGCAAAAATTAAAAAAAATTAAAAAAGACTTAAATGAAACTGATTTGTAAGGGTGCAGTAAGTAGAACGAGAGTTTTACGGTTATACAAATTTAAATAATTGATTTTCAATCAAATTCTGCGTATGAAACATTGTTTTTCTGTCATTCAAAGGTAATGAAAATTTTCTGAAACTAATTTTGATTTACATAGATATTTCTGCATTCTCAGTATTACACAACAAATTTACGAAGAGTGATACAAATAAAAAAACTCACATTAAAATAATATTGATATAGTGAAACTTTCATTCATAAACATAAACATAAACAAAATCAAAATCTTAAACATTCTGAAAATCGTCGTGTCAGAAAAAAAGGATTATGATTTATTAACAACATAAATGCAAAAGTCGACCAGTTTGAAATTATCTATATTCTAATGAATATCAATGATCCATCAGCAATTATCAACAAGATTATATTTTAATGTTAATCATCCATTAAGTAATGTTTAACAAATAAATTTAATGTATTGAAAAGAAGAATTTCGTTTTGTAGATTAATATTTGAAGATAATACAAATTTGTCTACATTGTCAATCATTTAAAGTTTAAATCGTCATTTTAAAGTAATTAATGATCGCTGTTCAACATATAGCGAAACAAATTTTTTTACTCAATATCAACACATGCGATCAGGATGACCATTTATTTAATAAACGAAATTTGCCACAAATATTTGCGGCATGAAGTATCATTTAGACCAACGGCTGATTCAGTATTGTACAAAGCGTGCCAAAAACGTTTTTTGTTTCAAAAGATTTTGAAGATCACCTGAAAACACAATATTCAATAGTCATGAATGTTCAAAATTTATTGTATTGTGACCATTAGTATGAATTTCTCGTCATCACATGAAATATCAAATGTGTTGAATTAAAAAAAGAACTTGATGACAACGGGCATAGTTTAAAAGGATTTAAAAATATCACAAAAATCTATATGATTGAAAAATAATTTGATTACGATAATTCTACTATCTTCACTAGGATGACATAAAGTGGAAAATTTTTCATCCATTATTCGGTAATCGGTAGGTTTTAATAACTGCCATAAAGATTAATAACAATATTTTTTTCACAGATGACTTTCAAATAGCGATGTATTATATCGTCCATGTACTTTTGATGACATCATCGTTATTGGATCGTTCTAAGAACGTGTCATGATACCAAAAATAATGGTTTATTAATTGCTTTAGAATAGCTGTAGAAGAATACCGTAAAGATCTCGATCAACTGTGTGGAATTACAATTAACATTATGGTGAGATATCAAATGAAAAGTTACAAAAGACTCTTTAAGCAGAAAAGTTTACCTTTAGACTTGATCTAGATGATCGTATGGTTCCGAATCAGAGAAACACAATACTCATACACAACCCTATGGCTATCGTATAGTTTGGATAGCAGCACCACAGCTTTTTTTCTGATAAAAATGAAAAGATCATGTAATTGAATGGAAATGCCATAATAAAGAACAAAAAATAGTTTAAGTAATATTTCGACCTTTGGTACTGTCATTCTTAAGTTTAGCTATTCTCGTACTGTTGAGTTGAGGAAACAAATACCATGCATGTATTTAGACAAGAGAATTGAATTTCTACATGGTTAGAGCAATGGATTTGTTCTGTAAGTCAAATATATCTGAAAGTTCTATGATTTCTCTGTATTGTCTGTTTTTCTATGAACATGTGAACATATTAAGTTAAAAAAGTTTGAACTTTTCTCTTCGTATTTTATTATATTAATGAAGTAATACAATTAACTGAACGTTTCGATATGTTAACATATCATCCTCAGTAGTTAAGAAACGAAATATTTTATAGATCCACAATCTAAAATTATAACAAATTTTCCCGAAAAATTTGAAAATGTTAACATAATTTTTGTAATAATATTATAAGAGTTGATAAACATCATACATAAGATTTATCTATATTTCTTATGACACACATCTTCACATATGAACATGGGAGGATAAAGAAAAATCAGTGACATTGATTAATTCATCCTTAATACTTTTATATTGTTATTAGTAATTTGCTTGAAGCTGTTAATAAATGTCAATATTAAGAATATAAAGATCGTTTGTTAAGAAGCACTTTTATACCCACATATTTCTCACATATTTTTGTCGCAAGAGAAGGTATGTATATTGTTCTATTTCAAACCAGTTCTTATTTTGCACGAAATCAAGACGAATGTATATGTGGAAGTCATGGTATCTTGGCTCGAATGTAATGAGCTCGTAATGTGCTCTGTAATAATAGATTTTTGAGAATAAAAAAAATATTTACTTTTGTGATTTTCTTTCTTTGTGTGATTGGGTTACAAATTTTTGAAAGCTAATGTTAAAGTTACTAATGAGCGTTTCCCTCGCTATCTCAATGAAGCACAAGTTTTTGTTGGTAATTTATAGTATTGATTGAAAGTTTGATTTTCCCTGTAACCCATTTTTCTTCCGTGCAAAGTTCTAACATTTAAACATAGAGTGCTCGAAAACCCAAACTAGTTTTTATAAAAAATAGTTTTGACACGTCCATTTTCTAGAAAACATCAGATTATCTATATTTAAAAACTAAGAACGTTAACGGCCAGATTTTCAGCAAGTTAAATGTTTTAACACAGACACAGGGCTTTTTAGCTAATATTATTACAATTAATATACAGTAATATTAACCATTTGAGATAAAACCATATATGTTTTCGAAATACGCTCTGAATCGGATCACGTGTGTCATGTGCATATACGTCGCCCGTATTCAGAGCGACTTTCAAAAGCACATATACGGATTTTGCCTACAGAAGGTTAAATATTATTAAATGGAAATTTATAGCTCTTGTCTGTTGTTTTGTAATATTGTAATAAGTAGTAATAAGTGATAAAACATCTGTAATAAATAGTAAACATATGTAGAGCAATAGTCTTTCGAAGGTGACAATGCTAGACACGTAACAGAAGCCAATTTTAGAGTTTACAAATATGTTGGCTTTAAAAGCAAGATGGGTCTAGACTAGAAGTTATAAAAATTGTATCTTCTTTTTCAGAAATCTTTGCATGTGTATAGTACGCTCCTCTTGAACTTTTAGACGTCTTGAAAAAACCAGACACTGATTTTTAAGTAAAGATCTGAGCAGGCACGAGTAGATTAAAAACAATCTCGGACGAGCACGTATGAGCATGGATTTTTGAGAATTATTTTAACAAAAAAAAACACTGCTTGCAAACAAAAACTAAGTAGTAGACGAAAAGCCAAGAAGAGTTTTTATACGCTTTCAGAT